AGGATGTTGAATCACTGATGGAAAAGCATGGTATTTCAGAAAAAGACTTTCTAAAAGAAAAAGAGCAAGAAGCCATTTCCTTTCAAGATAGATACAAAGAACTACAGGAAAAACATAAACAAGAATTGGAAGACATGAGGAAAATGGGTCATGAAGCACTTGGAATTATTGTGGATGAATATAAGGCATTACTACAGTCTTCAGTCAAGCAACAAGTAGAAGCTATTGAAAAACAGTACATCTCTGCAATTGAGAAACAAGCACACAAGTGTGAAGAGCTGCTAAATGCTCAGCATCAGAGACTCCTTGAAATGCTAGATACAGAGAAAGAACTGTTAAAGGAAAAAATAACAGAAGCCTTAGTTCAGCAATCTCAAGAACAGAAGGAGATATTAGAAAAATGTTTGGAAGAAGAAAGGCAAAAAAATAAGGAGGCATTAGTATCTGCTGCAAAGGTAGAGCAAGAAGCAATGAAGGATGTAGTTATGAAAGCCATAGAAGAAGAAAGAAAGAATTTGGAAAAAGCTCATGCAGAAGAAAGGGAATTATGGAAGACAGAACATGCAAAAGATCAAGAAAAATTGTCTCAAGCCATTGAAACAGCTTTACAAGAACAGAGGAAAATAAGTCAGGAAACTGTTAAGGAAGCAATAGTAGAAGAGCAGAGACGAAGTGAAAAGGCTGTGGAGGAGGCAGTGAGAAGAACACGAGATGAGCTAATTGAGTATGTAAAAGAACAGAAAAGACTTGACCAAGTCCTCCGACAGAGAAGCCTGTCCAGTTTGGAGCTGTTCCTCTCCTGTGCACAGAAACAGCTGAGTGCCCTCATAGCGACAGAGCCCCTTGATGTTGAATAAAGAGAACGTGACAAGCTAACCAACACTGGCCTGTATCAGTCATTAGACCTCTAAAGTACACTTTATGACCTACAAAGATGCTCTTCCCCTGACTTTGGAGAATTTATTTTAAGCTCAAGGATAAGCCAAAACAATACTTAGAGCTATCAAGGGATCTAATTTATTTCCTTTCATTATCACTCTGCATTCACTATTATTATACTAATAGAATAGTAGCAACAGAATATAATATGACCCGAAAGCCATCAAAATGCACACTTATCAAGTCAATTATGCAAATGTTGTGGTCTCTGGTGACCTAATACACAGTAGTTGATTAAAAGAATAGATACCTTTATGATTGTTTTGATTGTTTCATGATGATCCTTATAAGTTTCTGGAATCATTATTTGATTTTAACAATAGAAATCATGTAGATTTCATTGCTTATTTATGTAACTTGAATATAAAATGCTGATGTGATAAAAAATTATTCTGATATTATGAAACTTTTTTCTGCATTTTGATCTATGTTTTCATTAGTCTATTGAAAACAATACAAATAAAAATACTGTCATAATACTAAAAAAAAAAATAAAAATGCCTCAAGTTTATACTTTATGGCAAAGTAGTACTCCATTGTATAAAAATCATTGTTCTTTATCCCCTCATCTGTTGATGGGCATCTGGGCTATTTCCAAGATTTAGTTATCATTAATTGTGCTGATATAAATGTGCACATATTTTTAATGGAATGATGCTTTTAATTATTTCAGAATATAGCATGAAGGGAAATCACTCTTTCAAATAAAACCACTAGTTTCTTGTTGTGGAACACTCTGTAGACATCTACTAAGTCCATTTGTTCAAAGATTTGGTTCAGCTCTGATATTTCTTTTTTCTTTTTTTTTTCATTGATCATCTATTCATGATAATGGGGTGTGGAGGCCTTCCTTTACAATTGTATTGGTGCTTATCTGCATAAAGAACAAAGTCCAACTTTATGCTATTATAAAAAACACACTTTAAATTTTAGAACACATGCATACTTTATGTAAAGGAGTAGAAAATATATTCCATGCTATGTTAACCAGAAAAAGAAGAGGAGTGTATGTAAATATACTTACATCAGACCAAGTAGTCTTTATGTAAAAAATTGTCACAACATATACCTTTTGTGTAAAAAAAATCAATTTCAAAAAATATAATATTTAATATAAATATGTACCCAGTATCAGCATATCCAAGTAGTACAACTAAGTAACAGAACCAATAGGAGAATTAGTAGTATAATAATCAAAGGAGATTTCAGTAGTATACTTTCAATATTGGTGATAACAGCTACACATATCAATACAAAATTTTAACAAAGCTATAAGCCAAATAGTCTAAAGAGCCTCACAGCTCGTGCTACCTGACAACAGCAGAGTGCACAGTCTTCTCAAATACAGATGGGATGTGCTCAGGGAGAGTTCACATTGAGTCATAAAACAAGTGTCAATGAATTTAAGAATTCTAAAAGCATGCAAGTATCTTTCAATAAAACCTAATGGAGTAAAAACTAGAAATAAATAGAAAGAGAAATGGAAAATTCACAAGCATGTGGAAGTTAAGCAACTATCTCATGTTAATTGCAGTATTATTCAGAAAGCAACGATGGAGCTTTGCATAAATATGAAAATTATTTATACTTATAAAGTATAATGTTTATAATATGTATACATTGTTTAATGGTTATGTTAAGCTAACTAATATATTCACAATCTCATGTACATTTTGTGATGTGAGAATGTTTAAAATCTACTCTTAGAAAATGTTGGGAATACAATATATTATTAACTATAGACTTTATACTATGCAATAGCTCTCTAGTAGCAAATTCTACCTGACGCTGTATATCCTTTGTCAATATCTCCCCATTCTTGCCCTTTCTCTCAGCTCCTGATAATCACCATTCTACTTTCTATTACTATAAATTTTTAGACTCTACGTATAAGTAAAATTATGCAGCATTCGTTATTCTATTTCATTTCACATAAGATGCATCTTGTCACAAATAAGATTTTCTTCCTCACTAAAGATGAATTTTATTCTTCTACATAAAGCACATTTTATTCATTAGCCATTGATGTACACTTAGGTTGATGCTCCATCTTTGCTTTCTGAATAATGCTGCAATTAACATGAAACAGCAAATACCTCTGAACTACTGGATCATAGTCTTATATTTAGGTTTTTGAAAAGCCTAGATACTGTTCTCCACAATGGTTATATGAGTGTACTTTTTTTTACCAATAATGTTTGAAAATATCCTTTCTTCCACATCCTTGTTAACACTTGGTATCTTTTGTCTTTGTTATAATTACCCTTCTTAGTGAGGGAATGCTTTATCTTACTATCATTTTAATTTGCATTATCCTGATGATTAGTGATACTGAGCATCTTTTCATATATCTGTTGGTCATTTGTACATCATCTTTTAAGGAATGACTATTTCTTTGTTTATGGTACTGAAAGGACATTTGCTCATTTTCAAGTAATTTGTTTCATTTGTTGTATTTATCTATATCGTCTCTCTGTCTCACTCTTCTCTCATTGGTGGGACAAAATACCCGACATTTAAAATGAAGGAAGGAAAGATTTATTTAGCTCACAGTTAATGGAGGTTTCAGACCATATTCAACTGGCTCCAAGGCAGACTGGCACACAGCAGAAGGCAATGGTTTATGGTGGCTGAAAATGGCAAACAGCAGGAGCAAAAGGGTAAGAGCAGTGGCAACAATGGCAAAAGAAAACATGTCTGTTTTTCTGTCTCTCTTATGTTACATTCAGACTATTTGCCCCAGGCTGGGTATAGCACTCACACCTATAATCCCAGCAGTACTCAGACCCACAACCCCAGCCTTGGATCATGAATTAATCACAAACTATAGAACTGTGCCTCAATGACTGCATGAAGATTTGGAGGGACAAATATGCACAAACCATAACAGCCTTCCACACTGTATGTATTCATTTATTTCCAGTTTTCACAAGAGTAAAATCTTGAATACAAATGGAAATAAAAAATATATGAATTTTGGTCTCAAGGTCTGATGTTTTTGCTATGATCTGGTTTATTGAATCCCCTCATTCAGGAAAATGTGATTAATTTAATGATTCATAATGTTAGGGATCTTGACATTGGAGATTAATTTTGCTAAGACTTTATTCTCTTAGAACAGTTTTTTATATATTTAGTACAGGGTCTACAGGGTCTCACTATGTACATCAGACTCATAGTTTTTCTCCTGTTTTAAACTTCCCAAGCACTGAGATTAGCCACCGCACCCAGGCTCAGTCACTGTCTCAGTGTACCCTGGGGCTGGGGCTGGCAAAGCAGGCTGGGGATTGAACCCTTGACCCCTGTGTCTGCCTAAGCAGGCAATTTAATGTGCAAAGCTAATTGGCAGGTCCTGGTTTTAAGTTTTGAGGACTATCTGGAGTATAGAAATGGGTACCCCTTATTTTTTAGGTCACATTTTTTTGTGTTAAATCTGTTTTGGTGGAGCATGTTATTAAACCCACAGCTATTCCTCTGCCAGAAAGTGTTTACTTACTGCCTACATTCTCAGACACTGACAATGTTGTCATTGTATATTATTTTATTTTATTTTTTTAAATTTTATTTATTTATTTATTTGAGAGAGAGAGAGAGAGAGAGAGAGAGAGAGAGAGAGAGAGAGAGAGAGAGAGGCCAGCTCAGCCCACCAGGGGGCAGGGCTGGCTGGCATGTGGTGCTGGGGGATTGAACCGCGGTCCCTGATGCTTTTGCTAAGCTTGTTCTAAGTAGGTGCTTTAGACCACTGAGCCATCTCTCCAGCCCTGTATACTATTTTAGATTAAATGTAAATTTATAGCTTTGAAACTTGAAATAATCTACTTTGTCCAGAAAAAAGATAGCACCAATAATACCAAATGGATGATTTAGAAATCTATCCAGTAATTATTGTCATAGGATATACTGTTTCCCCCCTTGAGACTGAAATAATTGCATTTCTGTAAACTTTGATAATTTTTCATTAAGTATAAAGTAAATTAAAAGGATATAGATTTAGTTTGTGGGTTGGATTTCATTAGTATGAATGTAATTTTAATTTTTCTCATGGTCTTTTGAGAAAAACTTATTTGTTCATTAAATGTAGCTCAAACAATTCTGTTTTTTGCACTGTTATCATGACGATGATAATACTTACCACTTAGTATGTTGTTTTTAATATTAATCAAGTGTTTCACAACTACAATCTTATTTAAGTATGATCTCTGTTCCAAAAACTTACACTGAATAATTTGGGGAGAAAATATAGCAGCGTAAAGCTATAAACAAAGTTATAAGCAGACATGGTTACAAAATATAACTACTAATTGGCATTCTTGGCAATTTAAATATTATAGGGAAAGGTCAGTGGAAGTTGAACAAATCTCATTAAATGAGAATCAGTCTACTCTCACTTTGAGGTTTAAAGAAGAAATGCATTAAACTTTAAAAGACAATGGTACTCTTATTTTAGCAAACTGATCTTGATTTATGAAAATGGTATAGTTAGTCATGGGCTGTCCAGATGCAGAAGGTGTCTGTACCTAATTACTTTTGATTGATTCACTTGCACTAACAGAGACATGCAATTATGGGATAAAAATCATTATTAGGAGAAACACTGAGAATAATAAATTTGTCTCTTATTCTTAGCAACAAACAGATAAATACTTCCACTTGCATTCCATTTATTCTGTTTTCCTTCAACTCTTCCATGATGACCAATTCTCCCCAATGAATCACATAAAGACCCTGTAATATGTTATGTTTTCCATCCATTTCTTGACAGCTGTTATGGTTTGTGTGTATTTGCTCCCAAAGCCTCATGCAATCATTGGGACATGGTTCTAGAGTTTGTGATCCATATATGATCCAAGGCTGGGATTATGGGTCTGAGCACTGCTGGGATTAAGGGTGTGAGTGCTATACCCTGCCAGGGAGTATAGCCTAAGTACAATTTAAGGGAAATAGACTTGCTCTCCTTAGCCATAGCCATTGTTGCCACTGTTCCTGCCCTTTTGCTCTTGCTCTTTGCTGCCACCATGAACTGCTGCCCTCTGCTATGTGCCACTCAGCCTTGGAGACAGCTGAGTGTGGATGGAAACGTTCATTAACTGTAAGCTAAATAAACCTTTCCTTCCTTCATTTTGGGTGGCAGGTATTTGTCCCAGCAATGGGAGAAGAGTAACTGAGACAACAGCAAAGCCTCATTATCCTAGGTTATATCACTCATTCCCTGTAGGAAATATGGGCAGCACAAGGACAATTCTGACTCAGATTAGTTCAAGTTTGCATTAGGAAAAAATGGGAATTCATTCTCTTTTTGCTTGATCTTCATGTTGTTACTAAGCTATTCATTAGTATATTTATAATATAGCAATCACCCAACTTAGTATAGCCCAAGAGCCTATGCAGTTCTAAAGAGAACTCAGATACATAATTCTGAGCATATATTTGATATGTAACCTAATGTAATGCCTGTAGGTTCATTAA